AGTGACTATACTAGTGATGTAGATGATAGAAAAAAACACATCTGGTTATGTGTTCATGATGGGCTCTGGAGCTATTTCACGATCATCTAAAAAACAATCAATCATGACTTTGTCCACAACTGAAGCTAAATTCGTTGCTGCAACATCTTGTACCTGTCAAGCAATTTGGCTAAGAAGATTACTTGAAGAATTGAGTTATGATTAGAAAGGTCCAACAACAGTTTATTGTGATAACATGTCTGCAATCAAACTCTTAAAAAATCTTGTCTTTCATGGTAGAAACAAGCATATAGATGTATGATATCATTTTCTACTTGATCTCTGCAAAGATGAGGTAATTGATGTGGTTTACTGCAGAAGTGAAGACCAAATTGCAGATATTATGACAAAGCCTCTTAAGCCAATAGTCTTTATGAAGCTTCAGAATTTGTTTGGAGTCTATTCAATGAAGGAAGCGTGTGATGCACAAGTGCTGGAGTAGATATTTGTTTTCTAAACTGATGTCTGAAGACATCCAGTTTAAGGGAGGGTGTTAAAGTTTGTTTTTAATAAATAGCTAATATCCTATTCTATAGGAAGTAGTTTAGTTGATTACCTATTATTTAGGAGAATTTCAGCGGTAGAAGAGTTTGTTATTCATGGACTTAGTGGTCCTATTTTTCTGATATGCACATTGTTTACAATTCCTATTTAAGACTATATTCAGCTAATGAATAAAAGTAGTTCTTTTCATCTCTCTAAGTCTTCAATATTTTTTTTCTATTTTCTTTCACATTAACTATGCTAATCATAGGAACCACATTTATTTGAAATTTATGCACAATTTTAAAGAAGGTAACGCTGCTACGGACAAATTGGCTCTCCTCAAATTGCTTCTTTACTCAAGCATGATTTCTTGGTTTTCATTTCTCCTACTTTGCTTGTTTTCTTACTTTTGCTTTATTCTGGCTTGTATTTGAAGGGCTTTTGCTCCCTATCATCTTGTACTCTCCTTTTTCTTTTTTAAATAATTCTCTCTCTCTGAAATTTCATTAATATTTATAAATTCAAATATGCAAACCAATCATCAATCCTCAACCGATCAACTGTGGTCAATGTTGTTGATTAGTGTTGACCCAAGATCAAACAATATCGTTGATCAACATTGACTTCCATTGACCAACATTGATCGTCAACCAATTCAAGTTTTGAATTTTTTTAAATTATTAGTTAAATAATAATTGATAAATATATATTAGTCTTTATTGAAATGAATTGCTAAAGTGTAGACGATAAAATCTACGGTTGTGGAAGTAAGGTCTGATCCCGTGAGGTTGAGACCACTAGTAATCTGTTGCACCTACACACACAAAGAAACAAGCGTGAAGTAGACAGGAAACACCTAAGGTGGTGTTTGTCGTAGGCATTTAGACGCTCAAGTCAGTAAGACTGAATGAGGCTAATTTAGTGAGGGTTAATAGAAGGAAGGGTTTACCGAAAACTTAGTCGGAGACTAGAACCACGGCGTGGGGATATAGCTGTTAGGAGTAAGATCTTGGGTGTAAGTAGGTAGTAGTGAGATTGAATGCCTAAACAGAGGAGTGACCCTTATTTATATTGTAGTTATAGGATCTTCGTATTTTAGTAGGACTTTGAATTTTCAAGAGAAAAGGTTTAGTGAATAGGAAAGATCCTGTTTCACTTGCCTCAGTACCAAAAGTCCTAATTCACCTAAGATATGAAATCTTGGGCAAATTAGGATATAACCCAAATAGGAAGAGTCTTGATTACCTTGATATGGAAGGCCTAGCCTTAGTTGGGCTATCGGTGACACCCATTTTGGAGAGAGGTTGTATTTGGGCCGCACGCTTTGGCCCATGCCATGAGTACCGACGCTGGCCCAATCGAAATCGAGCCGCCATCTTGGGCCTTATAGTAGAAAATACATCCTTGGGCCTGATAAAGCCCAAGGCGATTTTTGGCCCATACATAAAGAACAAATATAATTTTATGCAATGTAATTTATAAATCAAACATAACATAATATAAAAAGTAATAGGATGCAATGTTCTACTAAACATAATATAATATGTCGTAGGGGTGTTCAAAAGAACCGATTGGAACCAGAACCGGAATCGGAACCGGAACCGAAACTGGCGGGTACTCCGGGGTTTGGTTCTGGTTCCTACCCGGAACCGGCTATCAACGGGTAGGTTTCAGTTCCAAATTTTTGGAACCGAAACCAGGAACCGAGACTAATATAAAAATAAAATTAAAGAGTAAGGGGTTAATAAAAACTTTTGTAGAAAAAGTAATGTGAATACATTTATATTTATATTTTATAATATTTAAAGTAAGTTGGTTTGACTTTTGAGAATCTACCTTTACAAAGCAATGGAGTTTGTAATTTTGAATTTTGAATTTATAATTTGTAATTTTATTTTTGTTAACAAGTGCCAGGTGGGGGGTATTTGTAAGTTTTTAAGGGTTTTTTTGCCATTTTAAAAACTTTTGGGGGGTAATGAATTTTATAGGATACCCAGAATTGGAACCGTTGTTACAGGTTCTGGTTCTAGGTACCTAGGAACTGAAACCATTGGTTCCAGTTCCGGTTTTTTCAAAAAATGCAGAGTATCCGGAACCGAATACCCCTAATATGTCATATATCATTATTATATAATACAACTTCAATCAAACTTCATGACTCATTATAATAATGAGATGGTCCTTTTTGCAATAATACAATTAAAATAATTAATATTAATTAATCAAATAGCCCTACAATTGTTTATTAGAAGTAGGTAAATGTTGAACCATACAAATTAAGCATTAATTAATACAAATTTGGACCACTAATAGCCCAACAATAATGTTTTAATTAACTTCGACAAGAGCTAGCTCAAGGTAGTTGAACCAAATCGCCTTTAAGTTCATTCAACATTTTTAATACCCTTTATATCATGTTAATAATTAAGCAAAAATGAATTCAATTTTGGTTGGAGGATTTATGATTAATTAATATTGAACTACCCAAGGACATTAGTAGTAGGTTTGACTGGTTTGAGCTTTAAAACGAAGAAACCCCACAACTTTTTGATTTAGTTTTCAACCCAAATGGGAACAACGACCATGTTTATTTTTTAGAATTGACAATAGTTATTTACTTAATAGAATTGAGTAAAGAAAAAGAATTTCATGTGTTAGTATATTGTGGCTCGCTTTCCTATTTGTTCTCATATAAAATTGTATATTTATAAGAAAACTATTTAATAAATAATATAATTATAAATAAGAATAAAATTATGGGAGTCTTATTAGGAATTGAAATATGAATCTTATTAGAAATATAGTATCTCATATCCTATCAATAAATATAGGAGTGAGAATCAATTCAATGTTATAAGAGAATGTGAAGACATAGAGTATTTGATGTAAGATATATTAAACACCATGGGTAGAATGTCTTAGAAAATATGATTATTTTTGCTCTAGGTATTGGGTTGAGCGTGGTTAGAAACTACGATGTTTCCGCTTTGTTAATTATGTACCTGATTTATGGTGTTTTGTACTATTATATATTATATTCATAAACTTATAGTGGATTTCTCTTATTCATGGATATAAGCGGATTATGCCGAACCACGTAAATATTGTGTCTCTTTATATGGTTTGATTTTATTCTTATATTATTAATCTCGAATGTATATATTTCACTGCGCGATCTCGTCACATGGTCGACACACATACATCAAGGATAAGAGAAAACCCTTTAATAACATTGTATAGTAACACAATTGATGCATTATAATTTGTGACAATTATCAAACCTGAAGTGAATGGTTTGCTGTGAACAAGTTCAGTCAGTTTTTGCAAGATATCCAACCGAGATACATCAGCCAGGCTGCAAAAAAATTTTGAAGTTACCTAAAGGGTATAATATATCATGACTTGAAGTTCAACTCTCTAGGAATACTAAAACTAGAAGCCTTCCCTGTTGCTAATTGGTAGTGTTTTTACATCAAACTTAAAAGAATGTTAAAGTCATACAGTTTTATTTCCAACATTGTTTCAAGTTAATGATTTTATATATATTTTTGCGATGTAAATTCTACCAATCTTTGTATTTCTATACTATACGAGAATATTTAAGGTATAAACAAATTAAGACAATTAAATATACTTTGCACTTTTCAAACTTTATATTTAAACTAATATAACATACAATAAACAAATAAATATGAAGTTAAAAAGAGTCAACAAGTTTGAATATACACCATTTTTTTATAAAATTACTATTAAATGCGTAAGTCGTCACTAGAATGAAAGTTTGTCCACCTTTCAATTTCAATGTGCTTATCATATTACAAGTTTAGAACATGTGATTTATACTGTTATTAACAGCATAAAAACTTCATTGGAGAGTATGTTTTGTGTCTTTTCAATTACATCATAATAATGGAATTAAATTTTATTTTCAAGCTTTGTGACACAAGTATCAAACTCTTTGATCCGTAGGGAGCTCGTAGATTAATACCAAGAGCTTGCAGGCGCTGAAGCACGCCTTGCCACGAACACGGTGGGGGCTTGGCTGGTTGTTAGTCAACCTAGGTTAATTTGAACTGTTTTGCCGTTTGTGTGTCGGAAAATAGCTGCATAGAAGGTTAAATTGGACTATTTTCTTACTGCTCTGGACAGTAAAAGTAAAGAGTTATTTTTCAAATGACAAAGAATCCAAATTACTTTTGTAATAAACCAGTGTGAGATGCATATTTCGAGTTCCAAAATACAGTAAGATTTTTCATGATTTCATATTTTCCCTATTAATCATTTGGAAATAAATTAAAAAAAGAAAAAAAAAAAAAAAAAAAAAAAAAAAAAAAAAAAAAAAAAAAAAAAAAAAAGGTTCTCCGACAATAATTCGAAGGGGGCCATGATGAACACCAAATATCAAGATATAATAAATTCCCACGCTTTGAACATCTCAACAAATAACAAAAAGCCACGTGTTAATCTCACCTGATCTCCACCATCTCTGATTCCTCCTACTACTCCTGTCCTCCTTCTCTCTTTACTCTTTTCTTTACACAAAACAATCGAAGTGTGTACAGTCTGTAACTAGTGGAAGCCATCAAACCCTTCTGGATTCACCTCAATTTCCTCATTTATTCTTGTCCCCCTTCACCCTTCTTCAACCTCCACGCTCCTCTGTACAAAAAAAACTCATGCTTTTTCCATTTCCCCACATTAATTTCACTACTCTCTTTATTCTTCGTGTTCTCCTTGCGTTTCAGATCTAAGTTTTAATAATGTTAAGACAAAACAGCAATAATTTTCTTCCTGGGAAAATCCGAAAACGTGGCTGTTCGTCTTCGCCGTCCTCGACTTCATCATCAATCGTTCAGAATTATCGGTTTAAGCGCGCGATTCTGATTGGGAAAAGGGGAGGATCCAGTACGCCGGTGCCCGCATGGAGACTTATGCGGACGCCATCCTCCGCGTCCGCATTACGCGCCATGGACTTGCACAGTGAAAGTGGTGGCGGCGGCGGAAAAGGTAAACAGCAGTTGCAGCAGCCGGTTTCGGCGAGGAAATTGGCGGCGACTTTGTGGGAAATGAACGAGATGCCGTCTCCGAAAGTTAAAGAGAATGGCGGTGGTGAGTTTGATGAGAAGAGATTGAGAAGAGAGGCGAGAGCGAGAGAACGGGCTGCGGCGAGGTCTTTGCAATCGGGTTCTTTGCCTCCGCATTTGTCGGATCCTTCTCATAGTCCGGTTTCTGAGGTGTGTTTGCTTTCAAATTTTGGTTTGGTTTGGTGATTATTTATTTATTTTTTTTAGTTCTTGATGATGTTGATGAGAAAGTACTTTAATTTCATTGTGATTTGGATTGTCAATTTTACTGAGGATTTGATGGGTTGGTTTGGTTTGGTTTTTGTAACATGACAAACTGTTTTTCAACTTTTAAAATCTCTAATCCTTGATGTTGACAACAAATAAAATAATTTCATTGTTTTTTTATGTGTGATATTTGTGATTGGGTTGTCAATTCTGTGGCATATTAAAGTCTTGTTTTCTACTGGAGATTTGATTGATTACCAATAATCTTTCGGATCTAAATATGTGGTTGTTTTTGTTACAGTAAGAATAAATTGGGTATGATTTGTGTGGTTATTTAAGTTGATGATTTATGTGAAATAAATCTTGGTTTTTATTAAGATAAAGTCAGTCAAATGGTTGGAATTGCAGGGGCTAGTCACAGTACGATGGAATGCAACAGAATTATGTTTGTTATTGTTTTGTTTTGCTGTCAAATGGGTGTTGGAGTGACATTGTTGATTTTGTTAAATTAATTGTGTTTTTGTAGAGGATGGATCGATCTGGAACAGGTAGTCGCCACAGAAGAGGGTCGTCCATTTCTCAGATGCTTAGGTTTATGGAACACAATGGGAGAGCGTTGGATTCTGTTAGCAATGCCAGTTTAATGGAGGTAAACCAACTTAAGTTTTTGACTGTGTCTATTTCTTTCAAGAATTAAGCTTAAAATTTTGAAGTTATATTGTCTGCCTTTTATTTGGAAATATATGTATGGAGAAGTGTTCTAATCTCTTTATTTAATGAAGCAGATTGAGACAAGATCTCGAGCCCAGACTCCTAGTGGATCAACTATTGGAGTTAAGAATCGTTTGAAGGATGTTAGCAATGCGTTGACGACATCTAAAGAGCTACTCAAAATTATTAACCGCATGTGGGGTCAAGAAGATCGGCCTTCTTCAAGCATGTCCCTTGTCTCAGCCTTACATGCTGAGCTAGAGAGAGCACGCTTGCAAGTCAATCAGGTTATCCAAGAACAGCGCTCGGACCAGAATGAGATAAACTATCTAATGAAGTGTTTTGCTGAAGAAAAGGCGGCATGGAAAAACAAGGAGCAGGAAGTGGTTGAGGCTGCTATTGAGTCCATTGCAGGGGAACTTGAGGTAGAAAGGAAGTTGAGGAGACGGTCTGAAAGCTTGAACAAGAAGCTTGGCAAAGAGCTGGCTGAGACTAAAGCATCATTTCTTAAGGCAGTGAAAGAACTTGAGAATGAGAAGAGAGCAAGAGTGGTTATTGAACAAGTATGTGACGAGTTAGCCAGAGACATTGATGATCAAGCTGAAGTGGAAGAACTTAAGAGAGAATCTGCTGTAGTTCGTGAAGAGGTTGAGAAGGAAAGGGAAATGATGCAGTTAGCTAATGTGTTGCGTGAAGAGATAGCTCAAATGAAACACTCAGAGGCTAAATATCAGCTTGAAGAAAAAAATGCCGCTGTTGATAAATTGAGGAGTCAACTTGAAGCTTTTATGGGAACCAAAAAGGTAAAAGAAAAAGGGCGTCTTTCTGTAAATCAACCAATCAATGAGGATATTGCAGCCTATTTAAGCAGAACCCGTTTTGGTTCTCACCAGAATGAAGAAAATGAGGATGATGGAGAAGTAGAAGATGGAGTAGAGTGTGAAGAAGAATCGGCTGAAAGTGATCTTCATTCCATTGAATTAAATATGGACAATAATAATAAGAGTTATAAGTGGGCTTATGCTCCTGGAGCTACTCGTGATACAAGACTGCCTCCATTTGATGAAGAAGAAATCAAAGGAAGGAAGTCTACCTCTGGCAAAGCACCTAGAAGAAGCACTTCATTGCAGCGGAGCATATCAGATGGAGTTGATTGGGGAATCCAAGCTGAAAGGCTCCAAAATTCAGGAGATGACTTACAGTGGGAAAGACTGGCTGAACCGGAGAGGCAAGCCCAAGTAAAAGGTTATGGAGATGAATTACATGGGTTTAAATCAGCGAAAGGTCTTAGGGACCAGTTTTTGTCCGGTTCTCGGATGGGACCTTCCAGACTATATGCTAGTCCAACACGCCTTACACGAGATCAAGGCAATGTGGCTCAAGACCGACCTCCTATGGTGCCTGGGAGCGTTTTGAAGTCGAGGCTAGGAGAGTCCAGAGGCGAGGGCCAGAATGCAAGGAAATCCAGATGGTGAGACATGATTTTGCGTGGACAGTGCACCTTGTCCACAATCCTCCAGAGCCAGTCTTCTTGCAACCGTACCTGCTAAATTCATGGCAATTTTTCAAAGGCAAGGGAAGGCTTGTCAATGGCTTTATAGAGGAAAGATTTAGACTCTGAAGAGTTGTGTCTTTGTTGATTAATGGTTTGTTGTCATTCCTTAGAGCAGTTGAAGTTGCAGCAATCGCTGCATCATCTGTAGAAATGTTTTAATGTTTGTGTTTATAGGAAGCCTGTTGAAAGCTGTGACAATCAGATGAAACATCTCCTGTACAAAAACTTCTAGTATAACAGAGCTGTAATTATGCTGGAAGTCCTTAATATTTTGCCTGCTTGATTTTCTTTTCCATGGTTTGTTTTTGTTAGTAAGCCTTACATAATATACATATTGTAACAGTTAAGTTCAGGCAAATAGATATTGTTCATTCTTGGACCATTATCAATTTGTTTTTGGACTTTACTCAAATATTTTTCCTATGAAACACGTCTACTTAACACATTTAGGCTTTATAAGCTAACATAATATCGTACTTGTTACATAAAAAAATATAAAAAATGTGATGTTTTGGTTGGTTTCCCTATATCAAGCAACTTTTTTTGAATCATGTAGATTATAGGGCTCCTATGAATATGATAATCCTGCCATGGAAGATTCCAAATATCATTTCTTGTGATGAATTCAAATCGTGTTCATGGCTTAGATGTCTGAGGATAATCATATAAATATAATTTTTTTTTTTTATCACCCGTGTATCCGATCCAACTTGCGTGTAACTTAACTAATCTTTCAGAACTTTGAAACTGTTGGTCAGATAAGAACTCTAATGACTACCATTATTAGTGTCTAAAATGATTCAAACTTAGGAATTTATGAAATCCTATTTTACTCTTTTATCATCAGACTATCAGTTGTAGTTTATATAAATATAATTTACAAATGGCTTTTACCTATTAAAGGTTTTATATTTAAACCATTTGGCCTAGTTTTGTGAAATTCATATACCAAAATCTGATTTGGAAGGTGAACCACTCTATCTCAAATAACAATCTTAGAAATTATTATTTGTTAAATAATAAAAGGGTATGGCTGTTTGAACCGATCAAAATAAATAACATGTCTATGAAAAATATTACTTGAATTATTTAAAAAAAAAAAAAAAAAGTCACATAATACATGAGAAGCTAAAATCTGAATGTCAATGGGTAAATAATTGGTGAGATATAGAATGGTACTGGTTCAATGTCATAACTGCTAAACCCTTACTTTGTTTACAGATATTTTCAATATATTAATCAGACTGGTAGTAAAAATTTCATACATAAATTCTGTAAGATCAAATTTTGATTTGAAATTAACACTGACTTCTGTACGAATCGAATGGCGATGCTTTTGCATATGGAAGCAGCGGCAATGCCCCTGAAACTGCCAAACCTCCTAGCTCAACTTACTTTATATTTGGGTCCAAGATGAAGCAATTCTGGCTCCCATGCAATGGCGGTAGTGCACATGATTTTAATAGAACCAATGATAACACGGTGGAGTTGATTAAACAGGAAGTGATTTAAACTAGCTTGATTAAAACACTGACCAGAAAAAATGTAAACCATGTCAATTTGATGGAATCCAATATAAAACAGAGAAGTTCTATATCTTATCAACAGAAAGGGAAAAGTTCTGAATCTAAATAAATTAACTTCTCTGTCTTCATCTATTACGTAGAAGGCAAAATGAAATGGGAGAAGTAGCATGACAGATGTATATATGAAATATGTTCTAAAATTTTACACATGATTAAGAGCAAAAATATGAACTGTTCTGCTACACAACTACTAATTCCATCACGCGTAAGGTAATTAAGAGGAAGGAAAGCACTATCTTTCTGGTTCCTCCGAAGCTATAAAGAGTGCACTTAAAAGGACTATGGAGTTTAAAAATTTGAAGATTGCAGCTTCAGAAAATTCATAACTTATTACAAAGATTCTAGGACCGTCAACCAGAAATTTACTTGCGGCAACAACACGGTCAACGGTGTTTTTCCTTTCTCCTAGTTAAAGCACCTAAAGGACACCAAGACCCTATGCATCTGAAGAGTACATCTCACTCAAAATAGCTGTGAAAATAATTGTACGAAAGCTGCTTCCACAACCAAGACTATGCTACAAAGAAAAAGTCACATTTCTGTTTCTCACGCTCGGGGTTTTACCATACAAATCCAAAAACAAGGTAAATTACTTAATATCAAGCAGGACATAAAAGCATCAACTCCACAATCCAATCTAGTCACAAACTAATCAGTAGAACATGAAAAATAAAGTTCTCATGTTTCTGTTTGAGAGATCTATCATATGTTCCCAGTATATATCAAAATTAATACAGGGATGGAATTTTAGGTTTCCTATTTTACCATAGAATCCAAAGAAAGCACACTCGAGTGAATTCAACAATCTAATTCATCCTGCCTCAACATTCATCTTTACTAGTTCTTTACCCTGAATTAATCTCATTCATATGCGAGGATATCTTTATCTATGATGCCTTCATAAACAAATTAGTCCATCTCCAAACCAATCCCAACTTCTTTCTCTAAATCAATTAGTTTATCTACACTTTCCAATGTCACTAACAAGACTCAGTTATTAGCAAAGCATTCTTGAATGAAACACAAACCATCTTCCACAAACCACAAGCAAGTATAAACTTCCATAGTTCCTCAACTAACTTCCCACATCCCCTGACCATTTTTTTTTAGAAAATAACAAATGAAAACCTTGACCAATTGTTGTAAATTTTTTTTCTAAACTAAATACAACATAAGAAAATAAATACAAACAATTAAACTAAAACTTTATTGATTATAATACGAGACAATGATAAGCCTTAAGCTTTCAACATAAATTTCACCAATATAAAAAATTCAAGTTATTGATATAATTACACCAACCAAAAGTAATAAAACCCGAAGTTTCTGCTAAAATTTGGCCAAAAAATACTATCCTGCATAGCAAAATCAGCAATTTGAAATGACATACTGTTAGCTTCAATTATTTTACATAAAATCTTACAACATAAAACAAGCTAGTCGTCGAGAAGCTTTCTGAGGCGATCTTTGAGGAAATCTTTACGAGCTTTGGCGCGAGCTTGTTGTGAAGCTACGTTGACGAGTGAGAGGTAGGCTCCGGCGCCGAAGAGTGAAACGCCGGTGATGAAGAATACTGCAGTCGTGGCTAATTGTTTGGGCGTTGGCGGATACGACCACAGTATCATGTTGCGTTATTTTGTAATGTTTTCGTAGCATTCAGCTTCAGCTGTCAGCTTTGAGGGAAGTGAAATTTGGGATTTTATTGTAATGTATAGTGAATTGGGCCATATTTCAGCCCACTCTCCTTCATGGACCTTTAAATATATTAATTTATTTCTCGAAGTTCAACAAGTTGCTTACCTAATCCCTGGGTGAGAAAATACTTCTTTTAAAAAAAAAAAAAAAAAAAAAAAAAGAGAACACTTCATCCAATTTTCACAATTTTTAACTCATTTTTAAAAAAAAAATTAAAATACCAAAAACCAAAATAAATATTATATATGTTGTGTGTGATTTTTCCGCTAAGCTCAGGCCAACTCGAGGATATAACTCGACCTAGAATGAGCTCGGCAACTATGATTGATCGACCTAGCATAAACTCATCGAGCTATAGCTTGCGAACAATTCAAGGAATCATTAAATCAATCATCAGATTGCTGCAGATCCTAGATATTGTGGGAATGACTGGATCAACAGTAATCACTACGCAATCACAATGCCCAGTCGCGAGGATATCGGAATTATGATTCGAATCAGTTGTAATCCCCTACATTTCGTGTTTTCCTTTGTACCAATCTTGTATATAAACCCTCTCAGACAATGAGGAGGGGGTTACGAATTTCAGATAAAAAATCGCATTGTAAGCTCTCACAGCAAATAAAAAAAACACAGTGGACGTAGACTGTTAACTTGGCCGAACCACTTTAAAAATCTTTTTGTTCTTAGTTCATTTCATTCATACTCGACGCTGATTTTCACTAATCATGCACACATCGGTTCTGATCCCAACAAGGTCATGCTGGTTGGTGCAGAATTCTATATCAACATTTTGGCGCTAGAAAAAGGGCCTCTACCAAAATTTCAAAGATTCCGGCAAACATTCACCACGATTTACCTGTTCTAGTTCCAAAATGGTATACACTAGATCAAAAACTACAACCGAAAATCACGAGAACGTGGAAACCACCCACCAGGAGGTGTAACAGGAGAACGCTTGACGTCGACTGCCTGTGTCACCATTTTAGCACATCACAAATAACCAGGGGCAGGGACGTCAGCCCTTGAGAACGGCTAGCTGATGGAGATGATCAGGACAATGGTTCCATAGGTGGTGCAACAGAACGTGGCTGAGCTAAAGAACCAATAACCAGTTGCCGAGAACCTCGACTGGCCACATTTTGCCAACACAACCCCAACAGGTATGAATTTTGCAAGGGGACAGTCTATTTCGTTACTGCCAAGGGGTGATTAACACCTCCAACCTCGCAGGCAACACTCCATGCACGAGCGTGAGTCCCGCGGGCAAACAAACCCCAGGAGGCAGCCAGGGAAGCAGCCGCTGAGGGAAAACGAAAGTGATAGACACCACCGAGAAGCTCGACGATATCCCCAGCATCAGCGTGCCGATTTTAACCCATGCCCAAGGCAAGATCGATCTTCGCAGGCTCGCGAAGTGAGTCATGTGCGTCAATCTGGGATTGACAGATGTTCTGGTTATGACCGACGCCGTGAGCAACGTACTGACGAGTATGATAGCACATATCAACCTAGCCATTATGACTCGATCTCGCGCATCAACGCGTACGCCAAAGGAGCTTCACAAGCAATAGACTTATGGACTCATTTGCTCGAGATGAGGCTTAACAGAGCCAGCTAGGGCAACCAAAATGAAGGCTTAGATCATGCAGAGGATGCTTGTCGACCTAAGAGCTCACCAGAACCACCTAGCGGAGGAAGTAATAAGTTCTCCTTTTACGGAGGAAGTTCATCAGGCCTCACTTCCATAAGGGTTCAGGGTGTTAGAAAGCAAGTTCGACGGGAGAGGGTACTCTAGAGACCACCTCGACAACTTCAATGACCTAATGGAGCTACACCAGGTCAATGACTTAGCAAAATGCCGGTGCTTCATAGTCACATTAGTCGGAGATGCCAAGAGGTGGTACAAAAGGCTCAAGGAGAACTCCATTAACTCCTAGCAACAATTCTCCTCGTTGTACTTACAACAATTTTAGGCGAAGAGGCAGTTCGCGATGCCACTTAGCTACTTGAGCAATAATCACCAAGAGCGAGACGAATCACCAACATATTATTTAATGAGGTTCTAGAATGAGTAGACAAAAGTTGCTGACACCCTCGAAGAATCCATTTGAACTTTACTAATTGTAGGGATCAGACCTAACATAGAGTTGTGGAAAGAGCTCAAGAGTGAAGAACATGTGAGCCTGACCAAATTCTACCAAATGGCCGCGAAATACCAATGAGTAGAGAGCTTGTTGGTAGCACTAGCTACAAGCTCAACGCGGGGGGTCTCGGACAGGAGACAATATCGCCCATCAGATAAGCGTGGGGTCAAGATCGCAACGACAGAGATCACAACAGGTCCCAAAAGAAACAGAGGATAGATAACTGCGGTGATAGACAACCTTGACTGCGGTATGCAGAATACACCCGCCTTACTCAAGACATCGCCCACATCTACAAAATGTCCCTAGAGGCGAAGAGACTTCCCGCTCCAGAAAGGATGAGGGGGCCTCCAAGTAGAAGAGATCGACAAAAAATATTGCCGGTACCACAAGGATGTCAAGCACAACATGAATGATTGTCAAGCCTTGAAAGACGCCATTGAAGACTTGATAAAAAGAGGCCACGTGAAAGAATTTGTTAAGGTAGAACCGGCTCGCGAAAACCCTAGTAGTCAAGCCCCAGGAGAGGTTCAAGTTCCAACTCATTAGGCTTAACCGAATCCCAACAAAGTCTTTGTGAATATGATCTATGGAGGGCTCGACATAGCAGGGAGCTCGAGATGGGCTCGCGAGCAGTATGCTCAGGAAGCGAGGACAGACTCAGTCCCTTGAATAATGAGCTGCGAGAGGAAGCCGCCAAACGACCCAAACAGGAAAGCGAGGTAGTGGGTTCACAATTGATGAGTGCGAAACATCCCCACATCATAATCATGACGCGATAGTAATCGCGGCCAAGATCGGTAATGCAAGAGTGTTAAGGGTTATGATCGACAACCGGAGCACGACAAACATCATATTTTTAGGAGCCTTTTGAGGAATGAGATTCATCGAAAGGAACCTGTGAGCGTGCCCCTCGCCACTCTTTGGGTTCATCGGGGATAACCTGGTTCCCAAAGGTACTATCAACCTTCTCATAACTTTGGGGACAGGACTAAAGGTCATAACAGTGATGACCGAATTCTTAGTGGTTGACTGCCCAACCACGTACAACGTCATCCTTGGAAGGCCAGTCTTGGATGATTTAAGTGCAGTCATATTGGTGCGCTGCCAAGCGATGAGATTTTCAACTTCCAGGGGAGTCGCAACGATCAGGAACTGCACCAAGGAATCTTGAGAATGCTATAATTAGGCTATAAATGCCGCACAGAAATGATCGCACCTAAAGACAATGATCATCGCATAATCCAAGCCGAACCCGAGCCGCTAGAGGACACTATAGATCCTCGCATCCATGAGGAAGAGCCTGCAGCAGGATCGACCGAAGAGCTGCTAGAAATAAGTGTCAGCGAGGAAGATCCAACTCGCGTGCGAAAAATCTGCAACAGCTTGACCAGAGAAATGGCCGATAATCTGGTCAGGTTTCTTAAGAGGAACCTCGACGTATTCGCATGGGTGCATGCATATATGGTTGGGATCAACCCCGAGGTGATGTGCCACAGGTTGAACCTCGACCCACAGGCTCAACGCACAAGGCAGAAAAGAAAGGCTATGGATGCAAAGCGCTTTTAAGCGTTCAAGGATGAAGTCAAAAAACTCTTGGACAGCCTCCTCTACTATCAAAACCCATCCAAGGTGAGCCGCTACTACTGTACTTGTTAGTATCAAAATTTGTTGTTAGCATGACATTAATACATGAAGAGAAAGGAATACAATAGCCAATGTATTATGTGAGCAAGAGACTGCTTGACGTGGAGACTAGGTACCTGGAGATGGAGAAGCTTGCCTACGCCCTTTTTGTTGCTGCCAAAAAGTTACAACCTTATTTTCAGGCACACTCCATCTACGTGCTGACAAGCTTCCCCTTGAAGAAGATAATACAAAAGCCCAAGGCATTGAGTAGACTGATCTAGTGGACGATGAAGATGAGTTAGCACGATATCAAGTATATCTTGAGGACATCGATCAAAGGCCAGGCCATGGTGGATTTTATATCTAAGTTCTCCTATCAACCAAAGGCTGAGCCAAGCTTGGCAGAGGCATATACCTCAGGAAAGATCGAGCAACGAAAACAAAAGAATGATGACTCATGGCTGTAGACACTATACATAGATGGCTCCTCGAATGAAAAGGGAGCAAAAGTGGTCCTTTTGCTTGAAAGTCTAGAGGGAGACCCAATCAGAGCCGCAGTAAGGTTCGGGTTCAACGCCTCCAATAACGAAGCTGAATATGAGGCATTACTCACAGGTATTTGACTCGTCAGGGAAATGGGGGTAGAGTCTACCAAGATCTATACTGACTCACAGCTCGTGCTCCATCAAGTTACCGGGGAATACCAAGCAAAGGAAGATAAGAAGACATCCTACCTCCAGCAAGTAGAGACCGAGCTCGAACAATTTAGATCTTTTACCATTCACCAAACCCCAAGGGAGAAAAACTCGTAGGCAGATGCATTAGCTCACCTGGCCTCAATAATGAACAATGAGAAGGTCAATTCAATCCCAGTTAAATTACTCCTGAAACCAAGCATCTCTGCTCCACAAGATCCAGTGTTAACCACAAGTTAAAGGTACAGTTGGATGAATGCAATCACCACCTACTTGAAGGACGACACACTGCCAAAAGACATAATCGAAGCTAGAACACTCTGCACGAAGGCAGCTTGGTACACGTTTATCAACGATAAACTGTATAAGCATGGATTCAATGTACTGTTGTTGCGATGTATTGACCACGAGGATGCAAATTATGTTTTGAGAGAAATACACGAGGGAATTTGCGGGAACCACATAAGAGGCAGATCTCTAGCTTACAAGGTGCT